AGGTAGCAGCACGGAAAGAAGTGGAGAAGACGACCCCAAGCCCCCAGTCGATGATGAAGGCGACTGGAATTTAAGTGTGCTCTGCCCAATCTACAAGAAAGTCGACTCCTCCATTCGCACCAACTACCGCGAGTCAGCCTTCTAAGCATAGGTTACAAGGTGTTATCGAGCGTATTGTGCGAAAGACTGAAGCCCACCGTCAATGAACTGATTGGGCGTTATCAGTGTGACTTTAGGCCTGGCAAAACCAACATAGGCCAGGTCTTCACATTACGCGCACAATCTTGGAAAAGACCCGCGATAAAAGGATCGAAACTCACCACCTATATGTCAGCTTTCGCTTCCGCTTTCGACAGCACTAAAAGGAGTTCTATATAATAACATTGAGCAATACCACCAGCTCCGTCAGAATTCGTAAAGACCTCTCCGAGCCGTTTGCCTTCAAACGGCGCTTCAGACAGGGCGACTCTTCTTTAATCTGATGTTGGAGAAGATAATAAGAGCCGCAGAACTGAACCGCTCAGAAACAATTTACTACAAGAGCGTGCAATTTGCTGGCTTATGCCGATGACATCGATGTCATCGGTATCAGAAACCGCGAAGTCTGTTCTGCCTTCTCCAAGTTGGATAAGGAAGCAAAGCGAATATGTCTGGTAGTAAACGAGGACAAGACGAAGTATCTCCGAAGTATTTCGCTTACTTGAGAACCAGCATTAACACCGTCAGCATGGAAATGCAACGCAGAATCCCTCTTGCCAACAAGTGCTACTTTGGACTGAGTAGGCAGTTCAGGAGTAAAGGCCTCTCTCGACGTACGAAAACCACGCTCTATAAGTCACTCATCATGCCTGTGCTGGTATATGGCGCAGAAGCATGGACAATGACAACATCCGATGAGGCGGCTCTTGGAGTGTTCGAGAGAAGGATTTTGCGGAAGAATTACGGGCCTTTACGCGTTGGCGACGGCAAATACCGCAGACAATGGAACGATGAGCTGTATGAGCTTTACAACGACATGGATATAGTGCAGTGAATTAAAATACAGTGGCTCCGCTTACTTGGCCATGTCGTTCGAATGGACACCGACGCTCCAGCTCTGAAAGTATTCAACTCGGAACCCGCTGATCGTAGCAGAGGAAGAGGGAGGCCCCCACTACGATGGAAAGATAAAGTGGAGAAAGACTTATTAATTATAATTTTAATTGTTATTAATAAATAATAATAATAATATATCATATTATTATTTAGTATCCAAAGGCTACAACGAACTTTTAGGTTTGCAGATGTGTTGCAAAAAATCCTTAGAGACAGGGCTATTGTGGGATCTAAAGGAGAAGTAAAGTGAATACCTAAACTCCCCTTTCCAAACGACAACTTCAGCCACTGCCTGTCAAGGCTTGGTGTGTCCAATTCTCGCCAACTAAGCTCTTCGATCGGGTGTGAGGCTTTATATCCGTGCTCACAGCTGTGCTCTCGTAGACAGACAAGACAAGAACCTGGTACGTGACGAGGAGCGCGCAAGACAACATGGACAACGTACCGGACCTCAGTATTAACATCGGCAAACGCAAGGACGGCCGCTGTAGTGCAATGGTTTGCAGTGCGCGCTACCATTCCGAGGGACCTAGGTTCAAGCCCGGTTCAACCCAACATCAAAAACTAAAAAAAAATCAAAGAAAAATTTTCTAATAGCGGCCGCCCCTGTGCAGGCAATGGCAAACCTCCGAGTGTATTACTGCCATGAAGAACAGCTTCTCATAAAAACACTATCACTGTTAAATCTGTGGGCACGCCACAAAACGGAGGAGCCCGCTCTCTAGTTCTGCGCTAGACCCATGCTAAGAAATAGGTTTGAATAGTAGGCTAGCGACAGAGGCAAAACCCTCGGATGCTACTCTTTTGTTGAGGATGCTAACAACTAGCAAACAACTGACAGAAATGGCAAAGAGGAAAAGGATCTAGCCTCTTCTCTTACAAATTGAAAGTGAGAGAGGTCACCTGGATCATTGAAGCGTTTTATAGTTAAGATATATGTAATTTATATGGGGGCGAAGCTGGTTAGCAATGATCATNGGAATGTAACAGGATGCAAACAACTGACAGAAATGGCAAAGAGGAAAAGGATCTAGCCTCTTCTCTTACAAATTGAAAGTGAGAGAGGTCACCTGGATCATTGAAGCGTTTTATAGTTAAGATATATGTAATTTATATGGGGGCGAAGCTGGTTAGCAATGATCATCGTAGCTCCATCTGAAATATCTTCCGCTCCTATCAGGGCCCTGGGGTCAGTGATAGCTAATCGCGTTCAGAAACGCCAAAGACCTCCTACAATCTTTTCGACAGCATAATTTTTATACCCGAGCGCACTTGTGCACAAGGGTATTATAACTTTGTTCACATAACGGTTGTTTGTAACAGGCAAAACGAATCGAGATAGATATAGACAAATGTATACATAAATGATCAGAATGAAAAGAGAAATCGATTAAGCGGTGACTGTCTGTCCGTCCGTCCGTCCGTCCGTCCGTCCGTCCGTCCGTCTGTGCACACGATAACTCGAGTAAAAATTGAGATATCTTAACGAAACTTGGTACGTGAACTTCTTTTGGGCGTGGGACGGATGGTATTGAAAATGGGCGAAATCGGATAATAACCACGCCTACCTCCCATATAACGGTAATTTTAAGAAATACGAAAACTGCGATATTTTAGTAACTACTGAAGATAATTCACTCAAAATTGATACTTACAATGAGTTTCAGACGGAAAACATGAATATTATAAATTTTTGGAAAATGGGCGTAGCCACGCCCACTTATGGTTACATGTGTATATCTTGGTAACCGCTGCACCAATTTCTTCGAAACTTGGCACAGTTGTTGGCCTTAGTACAGCATACTAAATGGCTGAAAATTTTAAAAATCGGACAATAACCACGCCTACCTCCCATATAACGGTAATTTTCAGAAAAACGAAAACTGCGATATTTTAGTAACTACTGAAGATAATTCACTCAAAATTGATGCTTGCAATAAGTTTCAGACGGAAAACATGAATATTATAAATTTTTGGAAAATGGGCGTAGCCACGCCCACTTATGGTTACATGTGTATATCTTGGTAACCGCTGCACCAATTTCTTCCAAACTTGGCACAGTTGTTGGTCCTGGTACAGCATACCAACTGGCCGAAAATTTCTAAAATCGGACAATAACCACGCCCACATCCCATATAACGGTAATTTCGAGAAATACAAAATCTTCGATAAATCAGTAAATATTGAAGCTAATTTATTCAAAATTGATGGTTGCAACAATTCTTTACCAAGAAATACGTTTATGACAAAATTTTGGAAAATGGGCGTAGCACCGCCCACTTGTGATCACATATATGTATCTCGCTAACCGTTCTAGCAATTTGTACCAAGCTCGGTATGGTTATTGTGCTTGCCACATAAAAGCAAACCGTTGAAAATTGTTGAAATCGGACTAAAATTGAGGCCGCTTTTCATATAACGGTAAATTTCAGATATGCTTGAAACTGCAATATTTCGAAATTTAAGGACGCTAATTTACTTAAAATGTATACACCCCGGCTTATCATGTAGCGGTAGCTTTCGGAAAGGTGGAAAACATATATTTAATACTTGCGCCGGGTATTTAATGTTCGGCTCCGCCCGAACTTAGACTTTCTTACTTGTTAATATTAATTATGTTCCGGTACACTCGATGGTAATATGGGAAATGAGGAAGCACACAGGTGCGCGAGAAATTAGATCTAAGATAGATTTAATGGAAGCGGTTAAAATCTGCGATTCCGGTCTTCACGAGTTGAGCAGATAAACAGAGGAGTTAGTTGGCCACTGCTCGATGAAACGAATGTTTGGCTTATCAGCGGAATACTACCGGGATACCGGAAATGGCCGTCTGGTCCGCATCACGATTTCTACAGAAGCTGTTGAGATGAGGAAGAGATAGAATCCCACCAGCACCTTCTATGAGAGTGTCCCACACTCCGAAGAAAACGCACCAAATTTTTGGTGGACCACGCCTTAGACAGCTTAGGGAAATTTCCACTAGGGAGCAAATCTCGGGAAACCCTGCTGTGCGGCATCGAAGTTTACTCTTTAACCATAGTCCGTCTAACCTAACTTACAGAGCTTGAAAAACAAGAGTAAAAGCCCTCAAATTGCCCACCAGTATTCCGAGGAGACTTATACAGGTCTACTCTCTTTATATATTAGTTGGGCAATATTCTGCATTAGTACCTTAAGAAATTTGAATTAATTTAAACACCAGCAAAACTCCGCAAGACATTTATAAAATTATATATAAAAAATTGTGTTTCGAAAAATATCCAGTTCTGTGAGACATTTGTGCGCAATAAGTTCATTTAGCGTTCCTAAAGATCTTAATCAGTCCATAGTCATAATAAATTTAATTTATTCGATGCCGTTTAGGCTTTTCTTTACCAGAAAATATTTTGTTCAGTCAAAGGTAAAATTTTGAAGCTGAGTGGTTCATATATATATATTTTCACGTTTAAAACATGCTTTTACGAGAGTTAGTTGTTTTATTTAATATAGTTTTGTAACACACTTTCAATAATGCTTGAATCGAAAACGTTAGGGTAGGACACCCTAGCTAAAACACAGAAGCGATGCAAGGATACAAATCAAAAAATTTTTAAGTTCGCCAGTCACAACAAGTCACACTTTTCGGTAAAAGAATAATCGTGATAAAAAAATTACTTGCGATAATTTTTTGGGCACTCATTGTCACACACACACGCACAAATATTAGAAAGAAAAACTAAATTTTTTCTCTTCACTGCAACCTTCACAGCGGACGCTTGAGCAATTTTATAGCTGCAGGTTGCTCAAACTCCTTTCAAAAATTTCTTGGCGCTATGAAATATGCAAAACTTTTTCGATAGACACGCTTGGGTATGTACATACATACATATGTATGTTTATATGTATGAGTAGATAAGATGCTGTACCTGTTCGACCGTTACATCCGGAATGCAGTTCAGCAGCCGCCGTCGCCATTGCCGTCGGAGTTAAAGATGCCGGCGTTGGGGCCAAAACGGACGCTGGCACCGTCATTAAGGATGACGACGACGACGGTGATGACGAGCACGACGTAGATATGGATGTGGGAATCATTAGAATATGTGCGGAGGTGGCCGACGACGAGGAGCAGGAGGAGGGGCACGCGGGAACGGATGTTGCAAGTGTTGCACTGGAATTGACTTCAGGGCCTACCACCACCTTTGGTTTTACGCTTGCGGCCACTGTAAAAGCCGTTGCGGATTCAACCGGTGATGCTGATGCTGATGTCGATGCCGACGCTAATGCGGATGCGGATGCGGATGTTGGCGGCGCTGACGCTGAAGTAGCTGCGGTTGTGGGTGTGCTGCTGTTGCTTCTATTAATTGGGGCGCATGCTGCATGCGTCGGAGAGGCAGTCAATTGTTTTTGTTGATGCTGTTGCTGTTGATGCTGTTGCTGTTGCTGTTGATGCTGATGTTGCTGTTGTCCGCAATTGCCACTATTTAATCCAGGTGCGTTAATTGCTGACCCGACCGAATTGGGGGCATTGTTAAAGGAACGCGTGCCGCCATGATTCTGATGGTGAGGATAAAAACCAGCGCCACGACATAAATTTGTGGGCATTGGATAGAATTCAAGCATTGTCTATCGAGAATGGCAACTGTTTCTGTTTTCGATTAAGACAACGCGGCTTGTCTTCTTCTTTGTTGCTGGTTGTTTTTTGGAATCACTTTGTTCGTTTTTTGTTTCTTTGTTAATTAAACACTGCTTGGGTGCGATTGTGTTGGGTGGACGAACACTCCCCAAATCGGATTCGCACACATTTTCCACCTTCACTTGGGACACTTTAAGAACTCTCGCGTCGACATGCACTCGAGCGACACTTGCTGTGTTTTATTTATTTATTTACTTATTTTTTTTTTTA